TTATATATATAAAATAATTATACAAAGTGCACCCACATATATTATGTAAACACAAACTTTTATTTTGGATGCGATTAATCGTTTGACAGCCCTAATATAATTATATATATATATATATAAAAAAACATTTTTTAAAATTTTTTATTTATTTTATTTATTATATTTATTTATATTAGTGCTGGCCAAAAATTAATCACATCCAAAATAAAAGTTTGTGTTTACATAATATGCATGTGTGTGTACTTTGTATAATTGTTTTGCATATATAAATACACATATGCTTGTATATATTTAAGAAATATTTGCCTGTGTGTATATATATGTGTGTGTGTGTGTGTACATATATATATATATATATATATATACATATACACATAATTTATTTTATAAACACAAACTTTTATTTTGGAATGCAATTAATCATTGCCCAGCACTATATATATATATATACTATATAGCACTATAATTATATATATATAATTTTAATATTTCACATATAGCATCCCTATATGGTATACACTCTTTGCAAATAAAGTTCAGTTTAGTGGGCCTCAATATAAAAATCTTTATGCCAAAAATATTCGATATGTCTAAGGAGAAATGTCCTAAATGATTGCATATTAATACTGTCATGTTTAATGTGTTCATTAATCATTTTTCCCTCCTGCTGATAATGTATGTTTGCAAGCTGTTTAATTCATACAAATTTAATGAAAATTAAAAATAAATGAAAGAAAAATTAATTAAAACTGATCCCATTATAGGAACCCTTAAAAGGTTCCACATATGAATCGCCTGACAGAACCCTTTAGAACCTTTTTTTCTAAGAGTGTAACATTAGAAATCTAAAACTCTAATTTATGTTTTTAGTGTACTTCAGAATTTCAGAAGTCGTCCAATAAAGGGTTTAGCAAAGTAGCAGAACACCTTGAGAAATCATTGATGTGTGTAGGACAAATGCTAAAAGTTTGATACTTGTTATTGGTTTGTTCAAATCACCAACTACAGTATACTCGCGTACACTAACTATATGAGTGGTAATAGTGTTGCTTAACTTGGCATGAAGGAACTTTAAAGAGTGTATACACTAAAAAATGCTGGGTTATTTTTTCAACCCAAATTTGGGTCAAATATAGACAAACCCAGATGTTGGGGTAAAAATGTAATTAAAAAAATGTACAGTTGAAGTTGGGTTATAATTTTAAATTACATTTTTAACCCAACATTTGGGTTTGTCCATATTTGACCCAAATTTGGGTTGAAACAACCCAGCATTTTTCGAGTGTATGAGCTCTTGTGTGTAAAATGAGGTAGAGGCTGGTAAAAGAGTGAATGGGAAATATACTTGAGTAGTATGGTTTGATTTGTTGATGGTTGTGTGGAGTGAAAAGCAAGCTGTATGTGTGTGTGTGTGTGTGTGCTCGCTCATGAGGGGGTGGACCTCTCTCCGTCCCATCTGTTTGGGGTTCATCTTTGTCCTTATAATTAATGAAAGCAGAGGGGGCTTCATGACACACACACACACACACACACACACAATCACAATCAACACCCTGAGCTTTTCACTAGCAGGTTTTGTTTTAGCTGAATTGCGCCTTCTCTCTCTCTTCCTTCTCTTTTGTTGTTTTCATTTACTTTTTTTTGTTTTTGCTGTTTCGTGCTGATTAATTTGCCCTCACCCCCTTCCTGCCTCTCTCTCTCTCTCTCTCTCTCTCTCTCTCTCTCTCTGTTTTCTCCGTATCTCCTCCCTCTCAGCTCCGAGCAGAGATTGGATGGTGGGATAGGCTTTGCCTGCCCTCAGGCCTGAAAAGAGGATTGTTTGGAAACAGATCTGTTCCAGTAACCTGTAAAAGGAGTAGCCTTCGTCAACACACACACACACACACTTGTGTTTCTATCAGTTTGTTCTTTCTGTCTGATACTAAAAACTGTAGCAGTGTCAAACTCATTTCTGACCCCATTTTGGTTCCGTAAAGCTTTGGTTATCCATAGATGTTACAACATATTTGAAGGAATATGCTCAGATATAGCTAATAACAGTTTGTTCAGATATTTTTAAAGACGGAAATATGATTTTCATTAGTTAAGGCTACACATTTTTACAAACCCCTAGCCTTACACTCTTAAAAATAATGTTTCTTTATTGCCATTTATGGTTCCATGAAGAAACTTTAACATCACCGGAAACTTTCCATGGCACTAAAGATTCTTTATAGTGGAAAAAGGTTCTTTGGATTCTTTTAAGAACCATTGACTGGTTCTTTGGGGAACCAAAAATGCTTTTCTGCAATTACACACATTGTGAATGATTCCTCGAAGAAGAGATGTGCTATTAAAATGACTGCTAAACTCTAAAAACACCAAGCATCCACAACATCTTTGTATAAAAATGGATTTTCCCCGGGGCAAACGTCACTTGTTTCTTCAGAAAATGTTAAAATACTACTAAAAAAATTATTTTCGAATGCTCTAAATTACAGTTTTTCCCATTCATTTCTATGGGTGCCCATTTTTGACCCAAATACAAGATTAAGGAGTTGTTGTTTTTCACCCACTTAACATTATAGAATTGAGTCAAAAAAAAATTGTGTGTGTTCAGGAGGCAAACTCAGGAAAAGTAGCCAAGTCTTGTACAGCTCAGATACATTTTTTTACCCATTTATCCAGAATACGGTTTTAGGGTTAATTCGCACGCATATATATCTGACGTGACTTCACATGATGTCTTGTATTTCTCGTGCACAGGTTGGGACGAGGTTTGGGATCGAAAGGTGACTATAAGTGTAGTCTAGAGACTCTGAGCTACTAAAACTGTAGACAAGATGGACATGGTAGAGTCTTGCTGAGCGCACTAATAGAACGCTACTACTAAATATAAGTTATTTTTATGAATTTAGAAATTTAAAGTGTGAAAAGTTAGGCATTTTTTTGTGACAAAAACAGTGTCTTCATTTTACAGTACACAAAATGTATGCAGTAATCCCTATTAAACACGGTACTTTAATTATTACTGTAAAAACGTTTACAGTATTTTGTGATTAAATGTACAGTAAACATACTGTAAAATGAACTACAGCAAATTACTAGCTAATTGGTGCCAGTAAATTTCACAGTAATCTAGTCGGTGTAGAAGGTCACTAGATCAGCGGCAGTGCATGGCATGGGGCGGCTAGAGATGGTTTCTAGAATTAGGATGGAGTTTGTCTATAGGAATAGTTGTGCTTGTGGTGCTGATTTTTTGTGATTAACAAATCTGTATACCTTCTAGTTTGCCAGGATACTGATCTATATTTTACTTTACAGGCTCTATTCTCATACAGTCGGCTGTAGGCATCTGGTCAAGTATGGTTTACTAATCAAATATAGCTCTTAAGTTGTATCTTTCGGAATATATTATGATCCTAAAACCAGTTTAACTTCCTCCAGTCTGCAATTATTTGCAAATAAATCTATTCATTGTGCTCAAATCAGCCAATAGTTTTGGGTAGCTGATATTTATTTCATATTACTTTTGTATCCCAACAAATAGGAAGCATCCGTGCTCACAAACAATTGTTTTCTAAATGTATCGATTGCTTGTTCTTTTTTTTAAATTCCGCAGTGATTTTTTTGGCATAAGTATAGTTATGTAAATATAGGGGATATAGGGGTTGTTGTGATGTCATAGCATGATGATTTTTTGTGCATATACAGTATGTCTGTAATATCACCAAATAATGAGCTCGTTATTGACATTTTTAATAACAAAAAGGATAATTTTAAAATCTTAAAAAAAACTGACCCAAACTTTTGAATTGTACACATGCAAATGAGAAAAAAATGCATTATTTTGTTTTATTATTATTATTAATAATAAAATATATATCATCCTGTTATTTATAATTTTTTATAGTTTTATATTTTTTTAAATAAATGCAGCCGTTTTCTTTAATTTTACAGGGTATTTGCAAAAGATTATATTTTTTTGGTATAATTAAGTTAAAGTTTATAAAAAGTATGTAAATAGTTATGTAAATATAGGGAATCATATATTAATGAGCTTGTGGTTGTTGTGATTTCATAGCATGTCGATTTTGTGTGCATATATGTCTGTAATATCACTAAATAATGAGCTCTTTATTGACATTTTTAATAACAAAAAGAATCATTTTATCTTTAAAAAAAAATGACTGACCCCAAACTTTCGGAAAAAAAAAATGCATTATTTTATTTTATTGTTATGATTAATAATAAAAATATGTTATTATGTTAATTATTATTTTTTATAGTTTTATATTGTTTAAATAAATGCAGCCATAGCAGCCGTTTTCTTTAATTTTGCAGGGTATTTGCAAAAGATTATATATTTTTTTGGTATAATTAATTTCAAGTTTTTAAATAGATTTATATCCCACAATGGATATTTTAAAACATGGGCAAAAGGCAGCTTTCTTTCAGTTGTTCTTGTGTTTCTCACATGACGTGCAGTGGTCAGATGATTCCACACTGGCCTGAAACTTGATGGGAATTTAATGTAATTCCTTTTGAAATATTTCAGAGGATTTGTCTGTTGCGAAAGCTTTCATTTTCTGCCAGGTTCTGCTTGCAAAGACTGTGAATATTGTTCAAATCATTTTGTTGAAGGATTGAATGTTTTATGGCTTTCATTGATAAATAAAATATAGCGACTTACATTTTCATGGTGTAGATTGCTTAGAGAAAACACTGACTGAGATGAAGATGTAGAAATGGTGATATAGTTGACTTCACATGCACAGTTCAGTTTGATTTAATGTTTATTTTTCATATAATGATTACATTATGTAAATCTTTGGGAAACACTGACTGGTCTGTTTGTTGAACGGCTGTGATTGGACTTTGAGAATATTAATGAACTACTATCTTTGTCTTTCAAACGGATAACTGGCCATCTTTGCCATACATGCCTCTTATTCCCTCTCAAGATTCAAAGAAGCTTAATTCACATGCTAAAAAAATCTCTCTCTCTGTCTCTCTCTCAGATTGACCCTAAGGTGGCCTTCCCACGTAGAGCTCAGCCGAAGGTGAGTGCGAAGTCTCAGTTCAGGTCATCATCACAGGTGTTGTGATGTCACACGTCACTTCTCATTAAGGACATGTAGGCTCTGTTCTAAAACCTGTGAGTGTTTTAAAGCGTCGTTGGTGTTTTCTCCATGTGACAGCTCTTCCAGACCAGATATACCTTCTTTTCACCATATTGCATAGAAGTGGCTTGAAGCAACAAACCCGTCAAAAGTAGCGTAAATAGAGACTAAACAACGGTTTCCTCTACAATTTTTATAAAAATTTGAAAGATATTTTTTTTGACCTTATCTATCATCAAGGTTGCATTTATTTGATAAATAATGGGCTATATGCACGCATAAGTTCCGCATTTGACGTAAGGATGCTCGTCCATTTCCGGTTGTGTAGATTAAAGCGGAGGAAAACCGGAGAAAACGGGATTATGGCAGAGTCTTCAAAATTTACTGTCCTCCCGTCTTTAAAACGAAACGTACATACGTTTAGATGTAATTTTATATATAGTTATGTTTATTTAATATAATTTTAAAAAGAAGCATAAACACAACGAGGGGTGTCTGTTTTATCTGTTTTTGTGACTAACGTTTCATTAGTATAACCATGGAGTATAAAATTCAATATAAATTCTCGGTATTGCATTGGACTCTACGATCGGCGGAAATTATCGAGCATCCCTAATGCTTCACCGGAAATAACGCCGTGCATAGAGCCCATACAGTAAAAACTGTAATATTTTGAAATATTATTAAATATCAAAAAACGTGTTCTATTTTGATATATATAACGATTTGATATATATATATATATATATACGTATATATTAGGGCTCTGCAAAGGTTGTAATCACATCCAAAATAATAGTTTGTGTTTACTTAATATATCTGTGTATGCGGTGTATAATTATTTTGTATATATAAATACACACACATGCATGTATATATATTTAAGAAAATGTGTTATTCATATATAAAATATTTATATGTATATATAATATAGATGATGTATTATATTATATATATATATATATATATATATATATATATAGTATTTATGTGCAAATAATTCTTAAAAATATACATGCATGCATATGTATTTATATATACAAAATAATTATACACAGCACACACACATATTATGTAAACAAACTTTTACTTTTGATGTGATTAATCGCAATTAATCTTTGCATAGCCTCAATATATATATATATATATAATGAATTTTCAGCATTATTACTCCAGTCTTCAGTGTCGCATGATCAGGAATCAGGTTCCCTCGATCGAAAAGCTCTGCATTTTCCCCATAGACTTTTGGAACATTGCAAAAAATAAGATCTGTGTTCAACAAAGAGTTGTGACCCTTTCACGTTTTGTCTATCAAGATAATCTTTACAAGTTAATTCAAAATGTATACATTTTGAAGCCTATATAAAGTTTAGAAAACCACAAGCAGACACAATAAAGTAAAAAAAACACAAGCAGGTTATAACTGTGTGTTCTATGTCATAGATCAAAACGTGAAAATATTTACGCCGCCTTCACACTGGCAGTTGAAATCAGCTCCGTAATACGCAATACGTTCCCAACGGACGTCGTACTACACAGTGAAAAGCGTCGGACGCGGGTAGAACAAAAATGGCGGAGAGATTAAAGTTTGATTCTGTCAGTTCTGTATGATCTCTCTGATTATGGTTATGCTGCGTGAGGAAAGTTGCTCAGGACGTTGACATGTCAGGTCGGCTAAAAAATGTGATATAGTGGTCAATAGTTCAATGTCTACCTTCAATTTAATTGTATTAACTGCCCTTATAAACGTTAGAAAGTCATGAAAATAAAAAATGACATCACAACTTATCGTTATAAAATCAATATTTATTTTATTAAAAGTTAATAATTCAAGTTTGTTTATCAATACCATAGCAACGGTCAACTTCCGCTGGAATTGTCGGATAGGAACCGTCCGTAGCTTTTCGCAAGAGTTCAAATTTTTGAACGCATCCGGATGACCAACGGACACGATTTTCTTCGCACCGCACTCGGTCGGACCCGTTTCGGACCCATTCGCATGCGGTCTGCGAATCTCCATAGGAAATAAATGACTTCCGGTCGTTTCGCAGCCGCATCGGAGCTGATTTCAACTGCCAGTGTGAAGGCGGCGTTAGAGGCTTTGTTCACCACAGACCATATATGAGGCGATTTAGCAAAAACCCATTCAAAAAACCCATGGACTTTAGAGTTAGGACTACAAAGTGACGTCATAACTTCGGAACTCTATTACATGTCCCTATGTGAAACATTCCGAGTCCATTACATTCCATTTCCGAGGTTCCGTTTTTAGTTAGTTTGTTCCCTTAGAAGGCAGCTGTGCAGCTCACTAGGTTTTGGAACAGTAGTACATTACTCCTACTTGTGGAATTGACACACTCATTCTTTTATTAACCTAAAAATATTAGTAAATGTAAAAATTAACATGTCAGTGCTGTAGAATGCTCTTCATTGTAAGTTAACATGTAGTTAACCAATGTCAACAAATAGTTTTACCAAATACTTACCCTAGTTTTCTCTGTAGAAAGTCCTTTAGTCTCATTATGTGTCCTTTCTCTGGTGTTTTCAGCTGGTAACAAGAACAAAGAAGATCTTTGTTGGAGGGCTGTCTGTCAACACCACCATCGAAGATGTGAAACAGTATTTCGATCAGTTCGGAAAGGTGAGTTCAAGGGCTAATTCTACTTTCTTCTTTCTGTCATAATTTAGTTTAGTTTCTCAAAGAGCATTTTCCACCCCCCCCCCCCTCTCTCTGATCCTTAATAAACCAGCTGTATTTAATAATGTAATTTAAGTATGACAATCATACTTTAGTTCATCAAGGCAGGTCAAAGCTGCTCAAAATGTAGGCGTTATATGTTAATGAGTTGTGATGTCATGATGTCACATGATGATTTGCATCTGGCAAATGGTTGTAAATAGATTAGAGTATGTATACATACTAGTACAACTTTATAAATGTAGACACACACGCACACACACGTGTGTTTATTTAGCTATCTAAATGGGACATTCCATACATGTAATGGTTTTTATACTGTACAAACTGTATTTTCTCTCCCCTTACACTAATCCTACCCTAAACATACCCATTACACACAACTTTCTGGATTTTTTACATATATTAAAAAAAAAAAAACTTTAATTACTTTGTTTTTACATCAGATTTAATGAGGAGGTCCCTAAAGGGAGGTTTTTGGAGATTTTGTCAGGTTTTTTTGTCCCCAAAATATTGTTAAGTACACGCACATGCACAAAACCAGTTTTAAAAGAACCAGAAAAACAGTTTTCTGTGATATGCCTGCAATATCACCCAATCATGTGTTCTTGATATTGGTGCTTTCTTTGACATTTCCAAAAACACAAAAAGGTCACGTATATTTGTCCCTGTTTTGATGCACACAGAACACATGATATCTCTTTTATGCTCCATCTGTCTCCATTTGTTACTGTCATATTCGATGTCAGTGGTAAAGAATTGGTGTCCCAGTTGGAGTCCTTGTGTTGCTGATTTTTCTTTGGTGCGAGAGCGGCCCGCTGAGTTGAACAGTGGACAACAGGGTCTAAAGAAAGAGAAGAGCATATGAGGAGAGGCAGGAGACGAGTGAGGGAGGCGGCGGCGCCTCATGTGGGTCGAGGGCAAAAGAAGGAGGAGAAAGAGGAAGACACACACTAAAATTGACCTAAACTAGCCAGAGACACAAAACAACTGGTCATGATCATGTTTATGGGTGATTCTTTAATAGGGAAAACATTCTGACCTTTGACAACCCAATGTTTTTGTAAGATTATTTGATCAAAAATGCAGTAAAAACTGTGAAATATTATTACAATTTAAAATAATGTTTTTTTTATGTGAATTTATTTTAAAATGGAATTTATTCCTGTGATGAAAGCTGAATTTTCAGCATCATTACTCAAGTCTTCGGTGTCCGATGATCCTTCAGGAATCATTCTGATTAGAGCCGCACGATTCTGGATAAATTGAGAATCACGATTTCTTTGTTTTTGTTTCAAACTGAGATCGGGATTCTCCCACGATTCTGAACTTAACAAAACATCATGTCATTTACTAGAGGTTCTGACACAATGTTAATTGCTGCAGTCTATTCATAAATGTGTATTTAATTTGAATGAATTATTTGAAACTAAAAATCAGTTTGAGTGAATGATTCAATGACTCACTCTTAAAGGCTTCTTTCGTTATTGGATGAATCGGCGTGAATGATTCAATGACAAACATTTCTCTTGTCGCCACCTACTGGTGTAAAGATGTAATTGATAAATCATTATTTGAAACGAATAAATTATAACATTATTTTGGTGATCTCTCTTTAACAGACTGAGGCGAGATGAACGTTTTTGAATCAAGATCAGAATTATTCAATGATTTAAAGTCCACCTGTGGTGAAAATCAAGCTTTTAATGTTGTTTATATGTCTGTGGTGTTTTTAATATGCTTTAAGACAAACCACAAATTCATAAGTCAACACAAGTATTTTCTCCTTAAAACTGCAGTGAACCAAAGTCCCAAAAGCGCTGGTGTTTCTGACGTCACAAACTAGCTTGTAACCAATCAGATCAACGTATGATCGTCAACGAGTGGATCTCTGAGCTGAGTGAGTGAGTTGAGGCGGGGGTAATTTGCATATTCATAGTACCGCGTAGCGTATACTAAATGCAAGGGTGTCAAGTTACATTCACACTATTTTAAGGCATGAAGACATTTTTTTTCAAGAAAAAAACTTTGAAATATGTCATTTTGGTGATCAAAGATGAGTTTTAAGTAGGGCTGTCCAACGATTAATCGGGATTAATCATATCCAAAAAAAAATAAAAATAAAGTTTTTGTTTATATAATATATGTGAGTGCACTGTGTATAATTATTTTATATATATAAATACACACACATGCTTGTATATATTTAAGAAATATTTTCATGTATATACTGTATATAGATTTATATATATAATTTATATTATATAGAAATATTTTATATTTAAATAATATTATTTTCTTAAATATACATGTATGTGTGTGTATTTATATATATATATATACACACAAAATAATTATACACAATGCACCCACATATATTATGTAAACTCAGACTTTTATTTTGGATGCGATTAATCACGATTAATCGTTTGACAACCGCAGTTTTAAGGGATAAAATGATCGATTTTAACGTACAGCTCTAATTCTGATGCTCAAGAAACATTAAATGTGTTTTTAAGAGTAAAACAGGATATTTGAAGAGGTAGAACTGATTGGTTTGTGAAACATTCCAGGTGTCATGTGATTGGAAGGGAAGGCCAGTAACTTTTATATGTTGTGTTTAAATAAATAGGGTCAATTTTATGATTTCACCTTTAATGTTCTTCATGTTGTAATGATAATTTTGACTAAAACCAAAATCCACTCGTGTTTACAAAGACCATAATTCGATCATGACGTGCGCTAAATACTCTGAAGACATTTCTAGTCCCTCACACTTGTATAAAGTGGCACTTGTTGTAGTAAATGAGGTGAAGGTAGGAACGGGAGAATGGGGCGCGGGTGTGAAGGTGCTGTTGGTAAAGGGGGAGGGTCCCAGAATCTTAACTGATCCAACAGCTGCTGCCCCCCCACCCTCTCAAGCTTGTTTCCACGGTGACCTGCTGGGCCTATTGTCTCCGCACACATCTCACTGTGACACCGGGTGCATGTGGGCTCTTTTTTCCCCAAATATGTAAATGCACGTGTGGATTCAGTGGTGTACACGCTCACAAATGCGTTTGACTGGGTGTCAGCACCTCGTGCACCTGTTGGGCTGCTGGGAGTTTAAAGACAACATAAAATCAGTATAATCTCTATTTAAACAAAGGTTTGGAATAATTACCATGTTTTAATGTTTTTGAAAGTAATATATGCTCATCATTATTATAATCACATGATCCTTCAGAAATCATTCTAATATCCTGATTTACAAAAAATAATCCTGTAAAAAAACGTGCTTGCCAGCATCATACCGTAAAAATACGGGTTGTTACTGTTTTTGAAATAAACTGCTAAATACAGTATTATCAGCTACGGTATAAAACTTTAATTTAACACAAAAACAGTAACACGCTGTATAGTTACGGTATGATGCTGGCAACCACAGCTGTCAGTAGTTTATCGTTTTTTTTTACAGTGCAAAACAACATGATACTACCAGAATCCAATCAAACACAAATATTAATGAATGTTTTCTGAATGATTTTTTTTTTTTGAACGTAAAGGAAACATTTACTTTAGAACGTTCTCTGAACATTCCGAAACCAGTAGTAACATTTAAAACATTCCATGAACAATGTATAAATAACGTTAACATTATTAAAGACCAGATAACATAACAAAATCGTAATAATTTCAAACTTTTGACTGGTAGAGTAAAATCCAGCCCTACATAATGCTTTGTTTTTCTCATAAATACGTCAATACACAGAAGTTTCAAATTCCATTTTGGGGGATAGTATGTGAAGTTTACCAAGAAGGGATTTTTCTACATTTAATCTGTGAAAATATTGTGCTTCTTCTCCACACTCCTCTCACTCAGCGGTTGGATCAGTATCAAAAAACACGGTGCACATGCACTAGCGTATGTATCTGTTCACAGCGCTTGGTGGGAGAAGCCCTTGTTGCCGTGAACACAATCTGGCCGCTCGAGCCCGTCCGGGAAAACTCACTGCCCTCCATTGTCCCGATCTGTTGGTCACAATCCGAAATGGTTGGAATATGATCAGCCTCACAAAAGCAAAGTACAGTGAGAGTCCAAGCGCTCTGACCCACAACAATGGATATAATGAAACATTGAGAGGGAGAGGGCCAGTGGAACGGACAGACTGGAAAAGTTAGTCTCCAGTCAGCCATGAGAGGTGTCGATTAGAGAGCTTCACTGGACCTTTTGTCCGCTGGCCTGTTTGAAGGGAAAACGAGTGATGAGGAAGGCATAAAAATCAAGTTTTATCTGGAGATCTCATACCTTCTGCTTGTTTAATAAAACAGAAACGTGACACTTGGCGGGTTTTGGGGAGGACAGGGAGTGTGTTTTGCTTGTGAGATGACATTATAGACTAAAAAACGCAGTTTGTTCTGTGTGCTCATCCATGGCGGACGGTGTAAATAGACATGTCTCCAGAAATCCCTAACATTTCTTTTGCACTGTAAAGATGCATATGCTTTATCTAATCAATATAATTCTGTCAACAGATTACAAGAAATATTAATGATTAAATTTAACAAATTAGAATTGAGTAATAATTAATCAAATTACTCCTTAAAAGTTAACCATTTAAAATGAGTAAAGTTTACACCAAAAAAAAAACAAAACAAAAATATAGCTGCGAGCAGCGATTGCGGGCCCAAGCCGGTGGCACCGCAACCCCTATGCCTTTAGTTACCTAAAGGCACCGGGATGGTGGTACCGCCGGCTTTGGCCCTTTATCGCTGCTCACAGCTATATTTATATTTAATATAAAGCCGGTGGCACCGCCACCTTGGTGCCTTTAGGGTTATTCTGTATGACGTGCAAAAACGTAACCCCCACTTTGACTGTCGAAAAGAAGTGTATTGTAGAGCTTGCATCAATGCGGACTCGATGCGCTGTGCGCTGTAACTCCATATGGCTTTAAGCGCGT